AAAACAGAAAAGAGAACGCCGAAGAAACCTTCTCTTAATGACCGATCAACCAACCTTAAGAATAATTTTTGCCATTATTTTGCTCCTCTACTGATGTTGTGCCTGTATCCGAGGAAAATACTTTCAAGTTGTATCCAAGGTATGATTTTCATGCAGTGGATCTTGCTACAATTAGCTGTTGTGATGGCTTTTATGTACTGTGACCAAAAAGGAAAAACTTTCCCCTAAATTTAGATTAAATGTAATGTTGTTTTTTCTCTTTTTGTTTCGAAATCTAATCCGAAAAAACCGTACCTAAGGTAATTTTTACCTTAATAGGCTTGTTTACTTATGTAAAATTATGTACTTTCCCTTGTGGTTATTCCTTCATGTGATCAAACATGCTACTTTTGTAGTTGCAATTTTCAGCATTGCTTACACGTTTCTTTTTGCCTATGTTCATTGAATGTTGTTTAGAATTCCGAAAAAAACGAATTTCCCGATAGGTAGTCAAAGGCGATGAACCTCAGTAATAGCAATTTTTAACTCAGAATTGGAAAATCGTGGGCAATTTTGGAATTTAAATGGAGCTAAAGGATCATAGTCACTTTTCCTGTTTTGTGGGCGTCTCTCTCTAAATTCAGTTTACGTTCCTCTCAATCCAGTATATTTCCGGGTTGTTATGGACCATACAATCCAAATGTATGACTAAAATAATGCGGAGATTTAAATGGGGATTACCTGATCAATGGCTGTTGACGATACATTGGAAGAATTCATGACATGTCAAGATTACCCCTTCGGAAGAGCATACCCAAGATTACTTTTTTGATTATTATTCGATAAAAGTCTAACAGTGTACACCTATCTTTTTTCTGTTTGTTTATGTTTGTGTAGAGATTAGTGAGTGTTGTTGCTTCTTCCTCTTTTCCTGATTGTCTCTTATTTTTCTTTTCGGGGTTAATTATCGAATATCGATCGTTCTTTGTGTCCTCTAGTTGAAGGCGACAAGTCAATTAGCACTGTTTTATTTCGAGATAAGAGAAGGATAATGTTTCAGTGGGCATTGTTTGCTGAAACTGGTTTCAGCCGAACAATCAAAGTAAAAAACTCGAAAGTTTACTAGATTTGACGACCCGGAAAATAATTCTCTGTTGGAAAATTTTAAACACCTTAACTTATCACTTAGTTATTCAGTTCCTATACCTTAATCCAGGATCATGTTCAAAAGGATAGATAGGATGGAACTTTAATAAGTGTTCTCGACAGTTCGTTTTTCAAGAACAATATTATTATTTAACTATTCCTTTGGATAAGCAGGGTCATTTATGTGTTCTGCGAAAGTGGGCCATTGAAGGGTGGAAGCATGCATTTGCAGCTTTGGTGGACTTAATTTTCATGGTCTTGCAGAAACGAAAAAAACATTCATTATCCAGTTAAACATATCCTGTTTGTAGTCTTTGAATTATTTCAGGGCTTCATCAGTGTCAGTATCACTAGTATGGCTAAATAAGAAGTAAAAAATTTATAAACTAAGTAAGTTCACTGACAAAGGATCTCCCGTGTTTTATTGTACGAGATTTTTCAATCTTTTTTATGTGATAGCAAACTTAAGAGTTTAGTGTTGGAGTATCGAAGCACGGAAACCTACTCAAACATAAGGTCTGGGGTTCGATTCTTCGAGGGGATTTATATATTTTCTTCTATTCGTGATCGAACTCAAAATGTTCCATTTATGATCTATTGCTACTGGGGAAAAAAATTTATCGACTGATTAGCTTAACTGGTTGTCGATCCCGTGTATGAAAGGAGATCCTCATTCTTTACGTGGGATTCAGCAGTGTTTCAAGTCATCTAAATGTTTACTGGCATACCTCCAAAAATAAACCTTTTTGATTGACCTTATCTCGTGACTAACACCTTATCAGAACTGAAAGTGCGTCAGTGGATGAAAAAGGGAGATTCCCCATTGAGGACTGAGTAAAACTAAATTTATTCATCATCTAAAACGAACTTATTCAAAACTAGATATTAGGAGAAGTTATCAGTTGATCGTTTAACATCTCCGCGTTTCATGAAACTATTTAAAAATATTTATGTTTCGGGTTTTTCTTGGCTTACTGATTTATATTGAAATATAGATTCAGGAGATCAGGCGTTAAACTTCCTAAAAACATTATACAAAATCGGAAAAAGTGAGATTACGCGCTGAAATATCGAACAACCAGATGTGTGATGTTTTGCGCCAAACAAGAAGCTTGCTTCTTTGTTGTAATTCAACACTCTTCAATGAGGTATTACACTGTATTTTTGTTAATGCTTCCGTGCGTGACGCGGTATGTACGTGGACATACTAAAATATGGTGTTACTCTGTTTACGGTTGATCTGTTATTCCCAAGTATTTTCAAGCGGCTGGTAGAGTGAAAACCAAATTTCATAAATAAGGATATTCAAAAGCAGGAGACGTTTTATAAAGATGCAGTGCAATGAAGTTAAATGAATCCTTTATCAGGATAAATCTGAACTGGGCTGGCAAATTTGTGTAACGCTCATCATCATAGCAGTCTGTCGGGGGCGATAATGACTATTTCACTTAGGTCTGGTCAGATTCCTCCACGCAGCTCTGTCCTTCGCTTTCTGCTGCCAGAAACTCCTGTCGATATCCAACTTCTTCAAGTTTCTTTTTTACAGTGTCTTTGAATCTCAGCCTTGGTATACCCTGATTGCGTTTGCCCTCGCATAACTGTGAATGGAGTAGCTGCTTAGGGAGACGCTGGTGATCCATCCTCTCAACATGACTGAGCCATCTCAGGTTCATCTGCATTAACATGACCTCCATTGATGGTAGGCCAGCTCGATCCAGCACTGATATGTTGGTTATCTTGTCTATCTATGCGATTTTCATGGTGGCTTGCAGGTGTCTGTATGCGTGAAGTTTCTGTGCCTGCGCCCTGTAGACAGTCCAAGGGTACTTGAAAGTCTTACGCTTGTCTAGTTGTATTTGTACCACTAATGCCGATCTCTTCCGGTAGTGATGTTGATAACTCAGTGGAACTTTAGCGGTTGGTAAAGGCATTCTGTCTTCTTGATGTTGATTTTGAGGCTAAATTGGCTAGTTGCTCTTGCAAAAATGTATACACGGCTACCTCCCAAACAACTCAATGTGTGGGAAGACAACATCCTTTGTTTTGACCTATCACACCGAGCTAGGTTGGAGATGGGTAAGCTTATCTAGTAAATAAGAGGCAACGAAGACTACTTCGAGTTGACATCATATTTGTAAACACAGAAAAGATAAAACATTATGACGTTGAAATGATATAACGAATTTAGCTCGGGAATAAATTATGAATTTCAGATATCATTATAACACCCTATAACAAGTAACACAATGATGACAGGACAATCTCACTTATAAATCAACCTTTGGGCTGAAAATAAAAATTGACGGGAGGTTAAATAGCTCAACAAAAGGAACCTCAAGGATTTTATGGTTACAAACATAAGGAACCAAAAAGTGATGTTCTTGAATTTGATCACAGGACTGAGTATATATATATATATGCGAGTATATATATATATGCGATCTTTAGACTTTCTGAAGACTGCAGATAAGATAATCCAAGATCTTTAGACTTGGATTATCTTATTACGTTTTGTTACTGAATGCGCCATTTCGTAAACTGTTGACAATATGACTCGAACTACACTTCATCAATCGTTATTCAGAGAAATGAAACATTTGGATGAGAATCTTTCGACTTCTTCGTATTGCTATGATCAGTTGCCGTTATCAGACCTTTGCTTCTTTCATGTAGAGTAAGTTGCACACGAAGGCTCGAATATTTCGATATTTCCTCTCTATCGGAGGATAATTCCTGTAGCACTTTCAATTCCCTTCCGAGCCAACCAGTCATTCAGTACAAATCGAAATAAGCGCGCGGAAAAGACATGTATTGGTTCAATTAGCATGAGCAAACAAACATATGGGTTATGAGGGTGACGTAGGAGTCTTTTTCTTATTGGCATCCTAAAAAAGTCATCTTTAACAGCAAAATTTGGAACAATAGTGTTTTCTTATGTCTATGTGCATTGATAACACTATTTGTTTTAAATTTCTAACTAGCAAGTTCTGTTATGATAAGATTTCTCAGGTGAAGTAAAGATATTAAAAATACAGCATTATTAAGGTGCCATCCGTGAACCCTTGTTTGAAATAATGTTTTAGAAATAGCTGCGGTAATGTAAACAAATCGGTTCTCATGTCACCATTTTGACAATAGCGAGTGAAGAGCTCTTACGAATATCTCAAGACCCAAAGAGCCCGTATCATTTATTAAGCAACCGAACAAGTCATAATTTGTGACGAGAAAGATTATAGCTGTCTGTTATTTCTCTTATCTGAATTCGTAAACCCGTTACCGTTTTTCCTCGTTATAATTTGTCATAACTTCGCAACGATAGACCTTGATCAAGGTAACTTCCACTTATATCCGTGACAAATATAGTTTGGAAAAAGCCCGCCCTCTTATTCATAAGGTAAGTTGGTAGACGTCTTGCAGCAAAATGAGCTCTACACCATCAAGTTTTTAATCAAATGTTTAGAGATACTAACTATATCATATCATTTGGCGTCAAACCAGGTCCTTAATCGGAAAGCTGTTTTTTAATACTCTTTTTTATAACATCTAATTTTGGGGCTGAGGATGAACGTTCTTATTTTCAGTTGCGATTAGAGCCTGAAAATGTTCTTAATATGTTCTTGAAGTTGTGTGGTATATTATTTCATTAAATCAATCTAAAAAAAGTCCCCTATTATTTGAGTTAGTTGTCCTGATAGACCAGAATCTTATATTTGTTTTACCTTTATTTATACTTCTCACAAAAAAAAGGGGCAAAATAAAATCTTTCTCAACTGACTCTGAGCTTTGGTAGATTCTTAGTACGCTCTTAAAATTTTGGTTCATCTCAGCCTGAACGTGTTTATGACGATGGTTCTTATTAAAAAAAGAGTGTATATATCAACTGACAAATAAGATAATTTACAGAGATTGTCTTGCATGATCATATGAATTCAGTGCTTAAGGTTTACATGGCGACCGTGTGCTATGGTTTTGAGTATACTCGATTTTTTTGCA